GCTGCTGGATTTGTGTAACACGAGAGTGGACAAAGGCCTGCTGATCAATAACCCACGGTGGAAGAGAACGGCACATAGGTGGAACATGCATTTGTTCCACAGAACGAAGAAACAGAAAGACTGAGAGAAGCACAGTGTTGTTGGTGGCGTGTTGTATCTGGACTGTTCACTTGATGCACAATCCCTGGTTTGGAACGGTGTCCCCAGGGTAGTTTGGTATCCTATCGAGGCTTTTTCTTCTCTTTGGAAAGAGTATGTCCTGCCAGCTCCTATACTGCCTTGTACAATGGTATTGCACGGTAGGCACCCATTATATTTCGTGGCATTTAATGTTTCAAAGGTGAGGCAAAGCCTTACACTTTCACATTTGATCTCGTTTCCTGGTTTGGATTGGTCTGTTTGGAATTTAACCTTCTTAACCAAACATCTACCAGAACTCAAGATTGGACTCATTGGATTTTATCAGTAAACTAGAAGGAAGTTCTAACAAGAAGTCCGATGTGAGTCACTCATTTACTCCATTCTAGAACAGATCCGAGGCACTAGGTGTCCAGAGTTCACTAGTGTGTCGGTAGCATCTGAGCTGACCATGGTAACCTACTAACCTGTTCTGAGTCAGCTCTAAGACAGCCACTGTATTCTGAGATGCCAGCAGAGCGGGTGGTGCAGCAAAAGTGGGCAGAAACGTCAACCAGATTGCCCAACACGCTCACTGATTTTTCTTGCTGGCTATTTCCAGCTTGTCAGGCCACTGTGTCTCTGAAAAACCATCTCCCTAACTAACAGTAGTTAGCAAAATGACAATATTAGTATTAACAACTAAAATATGATAAATATTTTGGGGCAGAAGCTATGCAGAAATATGCTTAAATGCTATTTAAGCAATTACATTCTTGTGCCAGCAAATAACAAATGATAATCACTTCTTCCCTGGCTGTAAGTATGTATTGATTAAGTTCAAACTTAGAACTCCAAAATGAATTATATCTGGTCATTGCTAAACTGCTTTGCTCACTGAAAGGAAAAAAAAAAAATCCACACAACACCTATTATGCTGCATTTAATTAAGACAAGCATCAACTTTATGTGCCATTATTTGCTTCTGCCAAATCTCTATGGTGTAAATATTGAATGGTGGCATCTCTTGAATGCTAATCAATCCTTTCTGAATTTCAAATGATTACGTAAGTTTTAGGAAATGCTTATATGCCAGCAGTACCCTCAGCTGCATAGATATCAGCAAGGCATTATTTGTATGAAGATGTGTGTGGTTAGTTGACAAGGGTCTAGTGAGTGTTTTTCTAAATTAGAATGTCATATATGAAAAGGTAAAAACTGAGATGGAATACTAATTGTGAGAACACTGGGATATTTCTTTTGTTTATCTGTCTTCGTAAGGAACAATTTATTTTATTTTTTTATGAGACAGAGTCTCATTATGTCACCCTCAGTAGAGTGCCTGGGCGTCAGAACTCACAGCAACCTCAAACTCCTGGACTCAAGCGATTCTCTTGCCTCAGCCTCCCAAGTAGCTGAGACTACAGGCACCTGCCACAATGCCCTGCTATTTTTAGAGACAGGGTCTCGCTATGGCTCAGGCTGGTCTCAAAACTCCTGAGCTCAAGCAGTCCACCTGCCTTGGCCTCCCAGAGGGCTAGGATTACAGGCATGAGCTACTGCTCCCGGCCTCAGGCCTAATGAGGAACAATTTAACCAATGAACTTGGGTAAAGATTGAGGTAAACAAACTGCTTTACTACACTTTGTTGGTCCGTCAGTGATGGGGGTGCGTGTGGGTATGTGGAATCACAGTAAGGTGAAGCTGTAACAGCACAGACATTTTGACCAGCTTCAGGAAGAACGATTACTATATTTTGCCGCATAGAATAGGCCCCAAGGCATAACTGTGCACCTATGTTTTTGGCCCAAATTTTTAGAAAAAAAAATATTTTGTTGGAATTGTTTTAATTCAGATTTGTATTTGTTTATATTAGGCCCTTGCTTTTTGTATTATAAAAGAACTTTAGCATTTATTTTTTAACATCATGGTACAAGAAATTTTATGCAACAAATAATTACAAAACCCAAGAACTGAGACAAGGTACAAAGAAGTTTATGCACCAGTAACAAACAGTCATCTATAACGTGCATTTCTCATTTTTCTCTCAAAAATCTGGGCCCCAAAGTACACACTATAGGCATGGCAAAATATGGTACCACACAATGGCAAGATTGATTTTTCCTGTTTCAAGAGCCACTTTTATGGACAGCCACCAAGTAAGAAGAATTTTACAGTTTATAGAACACTCTGCAGACTCTCATGCTTGTTTCAGAATTAAGTTAATACTGAGGCACAAATTATTATGCACAAATGTACATTTTTACTGGTTTTCAACCTTTCTGAAGCTTTCCCAGCACCTCAGGAAGGAGGCTGTCAATTAAGGAATAAGAACAAGCCTTCTTATTTTGCTTTCTAGGCTCGCTGTAGATTTACAGTCTTGCAAATAACATATTCGGTGCTGTTATCCTCTGACTTACAAAGTGAATGGACAGTTCATTTTGCTTTAGGCACAGAACATTTAATCACTGTGATCAAATTTCTTTGTTGGATCTGGGACTTTCTTTTATTAACTGGATTTAATATTGCAAAAAGGGTGAAAGGGGGTCATTGACTTTTTCCTTTGTTTCTATTGCTTTGCTTAGAATTGTGCTGTTATTTACCTCCCACCCAATACACACATAATAGGGACACCCAGTTCACGGCAATAAAACAACACAAAACAAACTCAACAAGTTGCTGATACTCTGCTAGAAAAGTATGAAACAAAAAAGTAATGTCTTTCTTTTGGTAACCCCCTTCCACTCTTTTTTCCAAAGCTGTGTCTATAACATTTCCAGGCTACTCTACAGGTGTTGAGGACACGGAGCACTGGGACCCTGACTGTGTCCCCAGGTATACCTTCTTCTGGTGGGGGGTGGGGGTAGGTGGGGGGGTCATAGCTTAGGAAGGGCAGAATATAGGAGTTGTGAGCACAGCCCAGTCCAGAACCACTTGCCTTTCGAGTCAGACAACCTCATAACTGGCCAATAATCAGGTGATTCCTTTATAAGACAGTTTCCTCTCCAAGAGAGTGGAAGAAAATCTCCTTTATAATTTCCATTTCATTGCCACACTAACATCAGGGCTCAGATCATCAGAAGGAACTGCAGTTTAAGCAACCAATTCATCATACCCTCCACTGATGATTTGGGATGGCAAACAACTGTGCAGACAGAGGGACGAGCCTGTACACAGTCAAGTCTTTTCTCCTTACGAGAGAGCACATAGCAGACCTGGGGGTAGCTTCATAACAGTTTTTCCTGTTGAGGGAAAAGAAGGATCTTCTCTTAAAGAAAAATGTAACAAGCAGGCAGAAAGAGGCTCTGGTTGAAGAGCAGTAGTTTTCTGGGTTATGGTAACACAGAAGCCTTTTGGATCCTTCACTTAATGATGGAAAGTCCACTATTTCTACATGTCTCCACTGTCTCTTGTTAAGATGTCAGATTAGCAGCTGCTCTGCGATCCTTTGCCCATTTATGAAACCTTCATATTTTCTAATGAAGAGTGTGTGTGTGTGTGTGTGTGTGTGTGTGTGCACGGAGAGAGAGATTGAGACCCAGCAGTGAGAAGAGAGAATAGTTCCGATAAGTGATGAATTGTGCTGGAGTCAAAGCTCTGCACAGAGGCCCTGATTGGGCTGGGGCACTGACAACCAGACTCCGATTGGCATTTTGCTTCACCAATTGCACTGTGGGACGCTTTGACAGTGAACCTTTGCCAGGTTCAGTTACTGAAAGTCAGAGGACAAATGGCATACTTAGGTGAAGGGAAAACAAGTGCTAGATCTTTATATAAATGTCAAAGCAGAAGAATTACTGAACAAAATTCAAATAAGAAAAAAATTCCTTACATCGGAATTTTAGACTAAAGACTATTGGAAAAACAGCCACTGCAAATAAATTCCTTTACTCAAAAGACCGAACTCATGCACATTTGTCAGCTAGTAAACATGGTGCAATTTTATTTACCATTAACAATGTCAGCTGAACTTAGCGGATCATATTATAATCCTACCACTCTGGGCGGCTGAGGCAGGTGGATCCCTTGAGCTCAGGAGTTCAAGAGCAGCCTGAGCAAATTCTAGACCCTGTCTCTACTAAAAATAGAAAAACTAGCCAGGCATTATGGCGGGTGACTATAGTCCTAGCTAGCGAGAAGATCTCTTGAGGTCAAGTTTGAGGTTGCTGTGAGCTATGACTCCACAGGGTCATAGCTACCTGGGGCAACAGAGTGAGACTGTTTCAAAAAAAAAAAAGTCAACATCATATTGCGTGTGCAGAGTGACAGCACAACCCTTTAGAGAAGTGTAAAGGCTACCTGAAGACACAGCTTACAAACTCACTACCACCCTCTCCCCCAGGGAGCTTCACCTACCTGTACTTCACAGACAAGGTGGCTCCGCCTCTGTCTACTTAAGAGATTTTAATGCCACAACCACCAGAGGGGAAGAGAATGACCATTAGCTCTGTCATTTGATTTTCTTTTACCATCACGAAGAGTTAAAGCACATGCTCAAAGAAACAGATAACCTCTGATCTGGTAGTTTTCCTTTTGTCTAGTGAATGGCCCGAAGAAAGTGTCCTGCCTAAGAGGCCACAGCTATAAGGTGGACGTCTTTGGAGCGGGAGGGACCAAAGCCTCAAGGCAAATGCTTTCTGGGCTTTATTTTAAGCACTTTAAAAATAAAAAAGACTTTTTAGACCAGGTTGACCCAGGAACACATGGGTTTGAACTGCATTGTCCATTTACATGAGGACGTAAAATACAGTACTAGTGGGTGCTAACCCCTGGGGCTGACCTTTACCAGACTCAGGTTCTGCAGGGCAGCCTGGGACTGTACGCGGATACGGTGGGCTGACTGATTTGTTGAAACATAACCATGCATGAGTGAACCTGCCATAGTTCAACCCCGTATTGCTCAAGGGTCAGCTGTCTATGGTAGTTTCAAAATATTAACTGATAAGCTCAAGTGTCTCAGAAGAGGACAGCGCACTGGCGCAGGGAGAACACTGATTGGCATTCGGAGTGGTCAGTTCTAGACCTGGCTCTGACCAGGAAATGTTGGATAAATTACCTGCTTTTATTTCTTCAACTACAAAATAAGAGGGGATGGTCTCCGATGCCCTTCCCCTCTGAAGGGAGAAAGTAAGTGATCTGCCCCCCTCAAGCCATTTTATTACCACCACCCAAGGAAAGCGTTCTGCGTCAGTGTTCACAATGCCCTCTATGGCACAGAGCACAGTGAGCCTTTGACGTTTCTAAAGGGTTGTGCTGTGACTCTGCTCAATGCCTGAACTCCTGAGCTGTGGCTATCACAATGTCAAATACACCCTAAAAGCTGATCATCAGGAATTCACTTCATTTATTATTTTATTCACAAAGGAGGACTTTGTTTAAGTCTCTTCCTTATAATAATCCTTTTCATCATATGAAAATTTACTTCCTTACTTGATAAAGTTAAAACAAAAAGCCCTCTACTATTTAGCCATAGGATCTATTTTCCAGTCTCTCTTCCAATGTTGTGCTTGTTTTTCTTTTTTTGAACTACTTTTTCCATTTCCCATTACTTTTTCTTAAACCTAGAAGTCGGGAGGAAAAGCATTCTTTCATTCATGGATGCAATAAATATCTATTAAAAACCTCCATCTGTCACGTAGTATGTGAGGAGTAAAATACACACTGTGTTCACGAGCCTTAGAGTTTATTAATTTGATAGAGGAAAGGCCTTTGCTTCCCTAAGAATACGGAGACGACCATACAGCCCCCCTTTTGTCAGAGGAAAGCAGGTTAAGGCAGCTATAACAAAGAGGAAAATGTTCTGCTTTCCCTTAAATGAACCACTGTTTTTCCTTCCAAATAATGATTTTAAAGGTCTTTCAAGACCTGAACGTGTTGCCCATCTTTTTTCTATTTCCTTATTCATCCCTTTTCAAAGTCCTTTTCAGTTGTTGATCAAGTTACATCACAGATTAATAAGTAATACTGTTTATTCTGGAACATTTCAGGAATTCCTTGGGTGATCTTTGATATTTAAGATAATGTGCTTTAAATTCTTTAAGATAAAAGAATTGTGGTCAGATGCTACAGAAGGCCTGAACTGAACCCGGGGATGAGCAAACAGCTCTTTGTTTGAATTATGCCCTTTGCTTCTCCACAGATAGGGTTCGTTCACGGCAGGCCAGGGAGGGTATCTAGCAAGGCAGTAGTTTTTCTGTCTGGATGAGTTGAGTCTTTCTTTGAGGCAACCACAACCCATCTTCCACGGGGCGCTTGCCTCCATGAGGACAAATCTTACCTGGGGTGTGTTATGGTATATGAGATCAAACAAGCACATTCAAGATTTGGAAATTCGTTATAAAGCAAAGAGCGACCAGGATGAACATAGATATGATTTTTCTCCATCCCTTTTACAGCTTTCCATCAAGGCCAAGAAAGACTTGCTTAACTGTCGTGGGCTGAAAGCTTATGATCTTACATTTGCTTGGAATAGAAATAAACTTATCACCTGGTTTTAGCCATCAATATTCTTCCTAATCTTTCTTCAAGTTAGCTTTTCCAAAGAGCTTATAAATAAATATTTCCCCCCATAAACTGAGAGAATGCAAGCTGGTAATAATTTAATTTTGAGAAGGCATTTACAACAGAGTTCTTTGGAAAAGTTAGTCTCAGAAAACTAACTTTTAGGCTAACCTACCTCCCATTACTTATCACAGATTACTTTGGTAAGGGGTTTTCTTTGAGTTTAAAACTAAAGTAAGCTTATTTATTTATCTATTTTATCAGTAAATACTTTTGCAAGACCCTACTGTGTACCAAGCAATGAGCTAGAAATCTGGGCTACAGAAAAACCATAAAGGATGACTTCTAACTTCAACTGAGTTCAGTTCAAGAGCACTGACTTCTACTGTGCAGAATTATCTGGAGAGCAGAGCAATTCCTTTCAATCGACTTAGAAAGTCTAAACTTAAAGAAACATGAAGTAAATTTTTCTAAAAATTTAGGCTTAGGAAATCCCCTGAAAGAGAATAACAGTCTTTAACTCAGCTGAATATAAGATACACTTTTAGAAATATTGGCCGGTAAGACAAGGAATGGTTTACCCTTGATTTAAATCAAGGGTATTCATGAGGGGAAACAGGATATAAAATGCCTCTAGTACTTTCTCTTGCACCCTGGGCCACGGTAAGAATCCAGCAAGGTTCAGCCACTGGGTTTTCAGGCTGAGAAAATCCAAAGCCAGAGTAACATCTTAGTTGACATGGTTTAGTTCCTTGTTGCTTTGAGCACCTAAGCCACATTAATACTCCTAATGGGCTTGAACCTGCAATAACATTATTCAGGATGCTTCAGTTGGTAACCAAGTGATTGCTTTCCAGTTCTGAGTTGGTTTTCGGGAGAAAACAGTTTGTAGGAATTCCATCTGTCTTTGGATCACATGCCATAATGATATTATTTGTGGATAACGATCCCCTTTCTGCTTTCTCTATAGGATTTATTTCTACATTGGCTGGTGACATCACTCACTCTGATTCATTTTTAGAAGAAGGTAGAAATATAAACCAATCAATAAACATCCAAAATGTTATTTTGGCCTCCCTTGAGTTACAGTTTTAACTGGTTAACTTGGAATGTCTTCTTTTTCGCCAAGTTATAAATTGGGCTCAAATTATAGTATCTCACGGTTAGGCAACAAAATATGGCAATTTAACAGGATTTTAAGAAAATACTACAATTTGCAGAGATTAGGCCTCCAGAGTCTAACAGTGAAACAGTCTCTCAGGAGAGGGTATTTTTGACTTTCATTCCCATTTTCAACCAACTTAACAAATTGAGGTCTGCACACAGATACAATTTGAGAGGGGAAATCAGACAGCAGATCAGAACAATTCGAGTCAACAGTATTTTCATGTTAGTCCTGTCATTAGCTTTTTGTGTAATCAATAATCAACATCAGGGAAGAACAACTTTTAGGAGGAGGTTGGCTGCTACTGGAGCCTGCTCTGACTCCACAGATTAGTTCCTGCTCCTTAGATTTTTCTGTTCTGGCAAAACACCCAGAAACCTGAGACTCATCCTAGACTTCTCCCTCTCAGCTGTCCCATTCTGCGGTCTGCACCTGTAACTGGTTCACTTCCCTCATTTCACTCCCATTTCCAAGGAGTATTAAAACACATCTGAACACAGCATTTCCAGCTTTGTCCCCAGCCACTGTCCACCCACTACCCACATCACTACCAGAAAGGCAAATCAACTTACGTCACTCAACTCAGCTCTACCTTTGATCAGAACGTGGTCATGCATTCTTGTTGTCTACAGAATGAAAACCACAGCACCTCTTCTGCTTACCGTTATCTTATCCCCAGAGCCCAGCTCAGTGCCTGACCATAGCGAGCACCCGGTGGGTATAAGTTGAATGGCTCGGAGGCCTTCAGTTCTGTAACCGGGCCCCTGCCTACATCTCCATGCTATGTCCATGGCTTCCCTTGACCATATTCATCAAATGTTTCCCCAAACTTGTTTTGCTCTCTCTTGCCTTCACACTTGAGCACAGGTTGTGCTTTTGGCTTACAATGCTGCCCCCGCTTGGGATCACACACTACCAATCTCTTACCAAATCTATCTCACAGTTTCGTCTCTCACAGGAGATGCAGTCTACTTTCAACACAGCCCCTGGCCTCTAACCAGCCCACAAAATCCTCACCTTACTCCAGGAGCAAAGGGGCTCAAAGCAGGGCTGAGATCAGAACATACCGGGTTTCAAACTCAGGGGGCTCAAGGCTTGTGAAGGTCTAGGACAGCAGGTATTGGCTTAGAACTTGGGCTAAGCTTTTAGCAGTGGCCCTGGTATGACTTTATCCTCAATCAAGGTGTTTTGGGGGTTAGTCTGGGCACCTGAAAGCTGATTATCCATATAGATCAGCGAAGTTGAAATTAAAAAAAAAAATGTTGATCATTCATTGTTCCAATGGTTAAACAGTTTTCCGCTCATAATTTGGAAACTCCCTGAATTTTACTGCCAGGTACTTGCCCACCCCCACTAGTAACTTCTCTAAAAATAAATTCTTGGTCAAAACTCTATTCACCTCTGATCTAAAAGCCATGCTTGCTTTCTTCCTTAAACAACAAACAAACAAGGTTTGAATGGATACTAAGCTAGCTATTGACTGGTGCGCCACGTTCTTGAAATAATCGACATGCTCATTCAACAAGAGGCTGTGTGAGGTTCCGGTGAATATAGAGGGTGCCAAAATATTTCCTTTCTTAAAATGTGTATACATTGTTTTTGGCACCCTCTATATATGCCCCAGTTCTTCAGGAAGATAGTTGGTGAGGTTCAAAGGTGGAAAGCATTTCCAATCTGCTCCCCTCCCCAACAGTATTAGCAGAGAGTGTAATAATTTGGAAAAACGATGAAGGCAAGATGAAAGTGTTGACAACTGAAAGACGCTCACGGTGGTTAATGTGAGCATCTTCAAATGTAATACGGTTCTTGGAACTAATTTAAAATACCACTGAAGGGAGATGACGCTCTGTAAATATTTTATCACTAAGATGCTGTAAGATTTCTCACACATGTATGGCCCCATTTTTCATTTAATTACTGATCAAATGTACGAGTTGAAAAGACTAAGATATTGCCATAAACCAGAATAATTTGTGCAATTACAGTGAGGGGACCTATCTCACTCTTTATAAAAACTATGCATGTGTAAAAGAGTCAGACTTACTTGAACAGAATGTTCCTTTTTATTGTGGTTAATATAGAAACCACACAGGATCTAGTCCTGGCATTGCAAACCTTTGAACACTACATCTATGAAATTCTGTTGTCTTTTTGAATTTTCAGTAACATTTCTTTCTTGCTATATTTATCACATTTTCCAAAATACGAAAATGTTCTTTTTATTTTAAATGTTGACTGCACATGAAAAATTAACTCTGGTTCTATTACTTCAAACTATTCCTTTATTAGCAACAGTTGTGCAGTGCTGTCAAGAGGAATTTTAAAACTGAAGTACCAATTTTGGAGAGTAGACACATCTGTTTTGCTGTGCAGTTTGTTTTATTGTTTTATTTCTTAGGATATGAATTCACGACTATCTTATAACGGGAGACTAAAGAAAAAGCATATGTTGGTAAATCTGATTTCTGCATTTTCTCATTTGAGGGAAGTTGCCTCCCTCAGCTGTCTGCCAATAAGTAATAAATGGACTTGGCAAAAAGTTTATTTAAGTTGGCTTTATTAAGCCAACAAAATACAGAAATCAAGTAAGGGACAGGCAGAAAAATCTGTTCCTTTGAAGTCAATAAAAATCCATCTCCTTAATCCTTTTTTTATTCCAAGCAGTGGTGATTTTTCTCATCTGACTCACTGAGAACCTTGATTTAGCTAATCTGTCTTGCTTAGTTATCTTTCTTCTCCAAAGCTTTCCTAAAGAAGCATCCTTTCCCCTTGACAACTGTCATCTTTTATACTTGCATAGTGGTGCATCTGGTTATGAACATTCTCTAGTTAATCCCAATAGAGATTTTTTTTTGAAAAAACATGTTTTTAATTACTATTCACATTTTAGAAGACTAAAAATAGCCATAGGTAGCAAGCAGGAATAAAAGTCACATAGAAACGATTGACATGGAAAGATGGGTCTGAATGGACCCTATACATCTTTCCAGGGTGATCTCCTTTAAGCCTCTGCCAGAGCTTTATTTGACTATCGCTTATCTGTCCATTATGAAGGAAAATCCAGGACTCGGATTGTATAACTCATTTTCCACAGGCCAACCTCTCCTCAAAAGAACAGTGAATTGTGTAGAAACATACATGAAAATCTATTCATGTTTGAAGATGTCGTGATTTGTAAGGAAGGCATTCCCTTGATAGAACCAAAACATATACTGACTTCAAGCGACTCCCATGTCAGTTTCATCGAGTAAGCGTTGGTTGTATATAGGATGAGAAAAGGATTTCTTACCTAAACTAAAAAGCACCAAGAATTTCAAACACACAAACTCTCGTTGGTCAAACTGGAGAGAACGAAGTTTTGCCACTAACTCCTGTGCGTGACTCATGAGGTTGTTGAGGGTGGCCCCAGCTTGTGATGCTATGATAGAATAGTCCACCTGCAACACAGAAGCACAGAGTTGTAAGGACTATCAGATGAGAAATACGGGCTTCACTTGAGATGGTTATGCACTGTGGATAAAATCAGGCTGTGATACAAATTTATAACATGGGACCTACCCTATCAAAGTACTTGGAGACACATTCTCTTATTTATTGCTTCTTAATTATCTTGACAAATCTAATCATTCTGACCAGCTTTGTAGGAAGCAGGTTGTGAATACCTACATTTTAGGTACACATGCCTAAAAGGTATAAATAGCTTTTTATATTATGAAATTACATCATTAAATAAGATCAAAAATGTTTAACTCTCATGAATAAATTGGAAGAAAAATATTCTGTCCATAGAAAATGAATCCAAAACAGTGTTCTATGTGGATACATTGACATTAACTAGCACATGAGAAAAATTAAGGTAGAAATACATTTCTGTATGTTTTATGAGACTACATTTTAAAGTCATCATAGGTGGCGCCCGTAGCTCAGTGAGTAGGACTCTGACCACATACAGAGGTGGAGGGTTAGAATCTGGCCTGGGCCAGCTAAAATCAACAATGACAACTGCAACAAAAAAATAGCCGGGCATTGTGGTGGGTGCCTGTGTCTCAGCTACTTGGGAGGCTGAGGCACAAGAATCAATTAAGCCCAAGAGTTAGAGGTTGCTGTGAGCTGTGACACCATAGCACTCTACTGAGGGCAACATAGTGCGACTGCCTCAAAAAATAGATAGATGAATAAATAAATAAATAAATAAATAAATAAAACTGATCACAGTTCAAGATCACATGCTTGTGGATGATGAATCACATTTAAATTATTCCTTAGGTTGCTGCTTCCTAAAAAGCTATGGCATAAAACTGCTATGTTGAGATGATTACATGAGATTACACCAGATTAATGTATCTCTCTAAAGACAGCAATGACTTTATTTATAAGAAGAATAATTCTTTGGTCTGGAAAGCAAAAAAGAAAAGGCTTATTTCCCTTTTCATTAAAAAAAAAAGTGCTCTTAGATTATTCATGGGGACATAGGAAGTTCAATTAATAAGAAGTTAAGATGTCGGGCTGGCTGTCAGTGATAGTACTGGCTTTGCTGCTGCGATTACAGCGTAATGGGAAAGCCCAGTTGGTACCTCATGCTCCCATCCTGTTTTTAACTGGAGAGCTCTCAGGCAACCAGATACTCTTTCAGGTGCATTTAATATTTGCAGCAGCAGCAAATTTGTCTGGGAGGCAAGTCCTCATCTGCCACTCACCCAGAGCAGACTGTATTAAATTTTTATATTTATTGACATTTCATTACCATAATTGACTGCACTTGCTTCTCTAGGAGAAGGCACCGGGCTGCCTCCTAAGCAGGAGAACTAGTCCCTTGAGTAGAATTTGCAATTAAAAACAAGGCAGAATGGATTTTTTTTTTATTGTGTAAATATGATGAGTTGAATTTTCAGCTTTAACTAGAGAATACAGGGTGTACAGGACCCTTTTTCAAGAGTGTGAAAAATTATGAGTCAGTGGAAAGACGACCCCCAAAGGTGTCAATCAGTTTACATAGAGTCAACTATGCATGAAAAAGCCATGGTTAATGTGTGTTCCTGGAAAGCTCTGGCATCAAGGGCAGCGGCGTCCTACCTGCTTTATCTGTGTGCCGGTTTCTGCCCACTAAATTTAAACATCAAGCAATCAAAGAGGTCCTTTGATTTCTGTCTCAGAGAGTGTAAAAGAAAGGGTCAGTACACCGGCACCCTGAACCTGAACCTGAACCTGAACCTGAACCCGAACCTGAACCTGAACCTGAACCCTGAGCAGGAAGAAGATGAACGAGACAAGCTGTTGAATTCTGTGGAGCATGTTGAGAACATCAGCCCAGCACACAAAGTGACGTCCCCACTCATTGCCAGTTCTCTTACGGGGGAACTTTCTGCTTCCAGGAAGTTCTTCAGTTCTTACTTAAAAGAGATGTCTGTGCTCTAAATTCTTTAAAAACCGCACAGACCCCAACTACTTCAGGTAACAACCTCATACTGTATTTTGCTGTGTATAATACACTCTTTGTGTATAACACGCACCTACATTTTGGGCTGAAACTTTCAGGAAAAAAAAAATCTTTCATTTTATTTTTTAATTCAAATGTTTATTCGTTTATATTTTGGTACTTTCTATAAGGGAATTTTAGCATTTATTTTTTAACTTATAGTCCAAGAAACTTTATGTAATAAATAATTACAAAACAGGAAAACATTTATATAGATACAGGATTAGTACTGCCCTGGCGTGTAGGATGCATAACTTTGTTTCCCCTTAGAAATTTGAGCAAAAAAAAAGTAAACATTATACACAGCCAAATACGGTAAATTCTACAGGGACAAATGGGACAAACGGTGAATGAGAGGAGGCAGGTCTCCTGGGCGGCAGTGGTGGACAGAGCCTGGAACTAGGTAGGAGATCTGGGCTGATGTCACCGCCTACAAACCAAGAGCCTTGGGCAAGTCGCCAAGCCTTGGTGTTCTCATCTTTATAGCAGTTAAGGTCAATGATGATAATAAGGTACTTTCCACTTCCGCGAATATAAAAAAATAATCTTAGGTGGGATAATGCTACCAATTTAAGATTGGAATCAATTGCATACACCATGGCTATAGTTTAGTAAAAAAACACAGTGGTTACACTGCTGGCCACATGCACTGAGGGTGGTGGGTTCGAACCCAGCCTAGGCCAGCTAAACCAACAATGACAACAGCTGTGGCGGGTGTCTGTAGTCCCAGCTACTTGGGAAGCTGAGGCAAGAGAATCGCTTAAGCCCAGGAGTTCGAGTTTATTGTGAGCTGTGATGCCACAGCACTCTACCCAGGGCGACAGCTTGAGACTCTGTCTCAAAAAATAAAAATAAAAATACATGGCACATTTTAATAAAAATCCCTACTCAAGCCCTAAACCAGGAAGACTGAGCTAAACTAAAACACAAATACATTAGTCTATATTAATGTTTTATTATTATGATTTGGTTAATTAAATCTCGATGTCTATGTAGTTCTAATAATAAGTTCCAATACTAGAATTTCACACTTGACAATGCACTGCACTATTACCAAAAGGAATCTAAATTGCAACATAGGAGTATACATTCACTAAGAGACCTTTAGTGAAATGGACCTCAAGAAATCAATTGGTTTACCAACAACTTTATAGCTATACATTTATTTACATGCTAATTTGAAAGCTCAAACATGCTTATTAAATGGGGGCTCCGATAACATTTCTTTCAAGGATAATTTATCAACCTGCATTGCTCTGAAGAAGGATGGGTAATTTATTCCTGAGATAACATACAGATCTACAACTTCCTTATATTTTATTACAAACATAATTATGTTTTCATTGTTGAATGCAGAAATTTGTGCTCATTTCAGGGGCAGCTGGCCTTGTCTTTTATGTACTTAGTAAAATTAATGTATTGCTCTCTTACACGTAGTAGTCTTTGTGCCATTAAATTCAAGGGAGATAGATATTGAAGAAATACTCTCAACCAATGTCCCCTTTGGATAAATTTCACTCATCATGAAGGTGGAAACAGTTTGAGCTAAATTGCTTTTAGTTCTAATCACCAAAATTTTGATGACTTGTATATTGTAAGGTGCCTGTCATTTTAATATGATGCACAATAATAGAAGATAATAAGTTGCCAGTAGACCTTTCCCTTAGGGAGATGTTACAGTGGCTGTTAATTAGCCGCAATATGCAAATAGTAAAAACCAGCCCCATTTCACAGTACACTATTATTTTAAACATATATAGATAGATGTGTTTGCATTTGTCTTTAAATACTAGAGAGAAAAGAATTCTTGTCATAAACATAAGAGGCTACAATAGTTATAGAATCGATTTGACAGTGCTTAATATTACTGATAATCACTATTTCCTTCTTGGTTAATAAGGTTATTTAATGTATTTATCAGGTATGCAGATGCCTGATTAAAACACACAATTAAAACAGAACACCTAACTTTAGGATTAAGTGAAACACTGAATCTTTATTTCAATACTATAGGTTGGTATCCTGGGCTGCTCTTTACAGGGAAACTATTTTGGTGACTTGAGTTCCAAATGAACTATGAGAAGATTCAATTCCGTAAACATTTATGGAACAAACTTGCTGCCCACTGGGCTTAAGAGAAAGGTTGTGGTGTTTTATGTAACTTCTCTCCCTCTCTTCAAGCTCCAAGTACCAGTCTCCTGGACATGCCCTCATTTTTTCCACTCAGTCTAGTCTTTTTCTTCTTCCTCTACTGTGACGAATTCACCACCCTATTAATAGTAAGCTGCATTCAGTAGGAAAAAGCCGGAAGACTGGACCATGGAGCGCCACAGGCCTTGGACTCCTCAGTTTGGGCAGAGGGTTGCTACGAAGCCTTGTGGGATCTTGCATATGTGCTTTCAAGGTAATATAAGATCTCTCTGGGTTCCCACTGTGTCAGGACTTGGGTTCTGATATTGTGGACAGAGGCATATTTAATATTACTATTCGCTAATCTGAAAATACTCAATATAAATAAACATTTTCATGTCTGCCAGGAGTCATCATCATGGAGTCGCTGAGAAAATTCTATAAGGCAACCTAGATATTTATGAGGAAATTGGGAATGCTGTATTTCTTCTGGCTAAGGCTAAAAAGGGTGGTGGGGTTTAATTAAAAAATTTTATCTGACAATTGCTTGTCACTGCTTCTCTAACCCTGAAAGTATTTTAAGCACTGCTATCTGCTTCAAGGGGCAAAGAAAAGTTCAATTGAACAGCCTCACTTTAGGGGGAAGGCATTTCCTTATAGAAGCTGAATCAGGCAAGTGGCTCCCGCCTGTAATCCCAGCACTCTGGGACGCCAAGGCAGGTGGATTGCCTGAGCTTACAGGTTCAAGACCAGCCTGAGCCAGAGTGAGAACTCATCTCTAAAAATAGCTTGGCTTGCGGCCAGTACCTGTAGTCCCAGCTGCTAGGGAGGCTGAGACAAGAGAATTGCTTGAGCCCAAGAATTGGAGGTTGCTGTAAGCTGTAATGCCACAGCACTCTACTGAGGGCAACAAAGTGAGACTCTGTCTCAAAATAAATCAATAAATAGAAACGGAATCATCTGGGCAGCTTTGAATGCCCGTCTTATTCCTCTTGTACTTCCTCCTCTGACATTTTCTCCAACCTTATCTGACCCTGCGTCCTGGGGCTTACTCATGGAAGCGCTCAGGGCAAAGCACCATGCACAGGGCAGTCATTATAGTCATTAATTAGGTAGATGAATTATATTCCTTATCATTATTGACTACAAGGCTGTGTCTAATTTTCCCCTCACATCTTTGACTTCCCTTCATTTATCAGACATCAGAAATAGTTTAACTAAATGAAAAAATTCGTTTCTGTCCTACAGGTGATTGCCAAGCTGCCTGTTGGGGAATGTTGCCTGCTTTATTGGAATAGTGCCATTTAAGTCTTTGCCATGATATCAACACCATGGCCTTGATACAAGGCATCATAGAAACAGACTTCTACCATTTTAAAGCTCACATTCTACACAAATCCGCGGTAGATCAATATGTCTCTGAAGCAGATGAATTATCTTATTTAGAAAAGAAAAGCATTCATTTAAAATATACATTTTCCCCCCCAAAGATTGGAAGAGAACTCAACAAAAACATTGATTTATAAGATAGACTTAGCAGTGACTTTCTCTCATATTTCTAGTTTTGTCTTAATGTTGAAATGATTTTATAATGGTAAGTAATAATCACATTAAAACTGCTTCTGGATGATCTGAATTTACTTTTACAACATGGTTACAATGCCACCATAAAAAAATCCTCTCAAAGGCAAACAGATATAAAACATTTTAAAAAGTATGCATTTAGTCTCAATGAAGAAGAAATCAATTTGTTTTGCTTGGAAGTTCCATAGAGGTTGTTATGCACTGGAATTACACAGGAAGACCAAATGAAATTCCTGCAGAAAGAAGAACCAGGTGAGGTGGCTCACACCTGCAATCCCAGCACTCTGGAAGGCCAAGGCAGGTGGATTGCCTGACCTCACAGGTTTGAGACCAGCCTGAGCCAGAGTAAGGCTCCATCTCTTAAACCCAGGCGCTGTGGTGGGTACCTGTAGTCTCAGCTACTTGGGAGGCTGAAGCAAGAGAATCACTTTGCTATGAGCTGTGACTCCCGAGCACTCTACTGAGGATGACAAAGTGAGACTGTGTCTCAAAAAAAGAAGCCTGCAGTGAAGGCAAGCTCTGGAGCACCTGCGGGTTATCCATAGAGCAGTGTGGCAAGCTGGTAAAGAACACACACTCTGGCACTAGCCCGCCTAGACCTGAACATCTGTCCTACCACTTACTAGCTCTTTTGACTTTGAATCAACCTCTCTTTGCTTCAGTTTCCTTATCTACAAAAAGGAGATAGTAATAGTATGTCTTCATACAGTTAACTCCATAAACGCCAACCTTGTGCGGGCCTAGCCGTGATGACTTCTAATTTTTATGTCAGCACTTGACAGAACTATTTCTTCTAATTCTTACTGCAGCCGTCCCATCACAAGCCCCACTGAACAGATGAGGGCAACACTGAAACTCTAAAGACAAAGGGACTTGCTCAGGATGACCTAGCCAGGGAGTCTTGGAATGGGGACATAAACACAGGTTGTTCTAAACTAGACCGCACATGGGAACTACATGCACGCGTTACCCCCTCCCCCAAGAACTAGTAAAGAAAATGTACTTTGCCCCCAGTTGAGTTGGCATTAGATGTCAATGTAACAAAGCAGCAGCAGTTCTCCTTTTTCGGCTTTCCTCAACTATCTTTTCTTTTTTATAAATCATTTTTTTCTCCAGAATATTGCTTTATTCTTTCATCTAATTCTTTCTTTGCTTCCTTTCATTATTATTTTAGCTACCTTCTTAAAATTGGTGTGTGTTGAATAATTTATTATGGTTTTTGTTGCTGTTGCAACCAAAAGCTATAGTTTCCTTTCTGTTATAATCATGAACGTGTATCTTTCTACTTGAAACTTCCATATATCTCCCTGGGCCACAGGATGGGAAGAAGTGTGTACCTGAAAAGGGTGGTTTGCTATTGGAAAAATCCCTGTTGCTATCCTAGTTCCATGAGAGGAACATTGGAAGGTATAAGAGGGAATGGATGAGTTGTGGGAACATGGTAAGAGTGATTACACTGGGCCCTGAGACCCAGTTAACTTGTTTGAGTTAAGCAATTAGGCCAGAGCTACAACAGTTCTCATTTAGTACAATCAGGTAATACTCACCAGGTGCCTAACATATTCAGGTAGGTAGGTATTATATTTTAGTAGGTACTGTGGGGTCCTACGTATGTATAGGACCTTGCATTTAAATATCTTTTTTTTTTTAGACTGAGTGTTACTTTATGATTCTCAGTAGAGTACTGTGCCATCATAGCTTACAGCAACCTCAAACTTTTGGTCTCAATTGATCCTCTTGTCTCAGTCTCTGGAGAAGCTGGGACTACAGGCACATGCCACAATGCTGGCTCTTTTTAGAGACAGGGTCTCGCTCTTCCTCAGGCTCAAGTGATCCACCGCCTCGGCCTCCCAGAATGCTAGGATTACAGGTGTGAACCACCGTGCCCAACCATGAAATCTCTCTCTCATTCTATTAGAGAGGTCATGTGCTTTTGAAAAGTCTACAGCGCTTTTGCTTTCATCCTAGGAAACTGCAGGAAGCCCAGAGATAAGTTCAAATGATTTATCTAGCTTCTCCCACAAAAGAAAATGAAGATGTCTTCTGTCATTGCCACAAATGAGAAGGTCTGATTGTAATTAATCTTTATAAGGCTCTTCGCTTGGATTGCGTGGGAAAAACCTTGGGAGGGGCTTTGTAGGCCTGTGGTGTACTCTACATGGGGGGAGCCGGAAGACGACAGGCTGCAGGAAACACATAAGGAAATGACTAGCTCTCCACCAGGGAGTTCCTCATTCAACTCTGATGGCAAAATGCAAAGCAGTAATGATCGATACTAAAGACTATAAAACCGTCTATTCCTCGACTGTTCTTGGTTTTGAAAAGCAGAGAGGAAAGAAATGCACTTTCTCTACTTTCTAAATGGTAATTACCTTTACCCAGGAGCAGCACTTAAAGCAAAATGAAATGTGAAATAAGGAGTATTTCTAAAGAGCAGAATGGAAGTGCTTTGAGAAAGAATGGTGCAAACCCATCTCCGAAACTCAGAAAGACATGAAATCAAATTAATTTGTGGGCTGAGACTTGGACTTCTAATGCAGCTCCTAGTTGGGCAATGGTGAGATGCATACCTCGTAATTAGACTCTGGAAATGGGTACATTTCCTCCGAAGTCTTGGGTCACAGGATGAAAATGCTAAACAGAAATCTGATAGCACCAGACATCAAACCCATTGAGACTTTATTTTCTCACCTAGCAAGCTTTTCTCAGGAGTAGTGCAGAGAGCCGGGATCAGATGGTGGTGGAGATGCCTGAAGTGATCCAATTTGCAAAAACCTGAAGATGGTGCTTGCTTTTAATTTGATTGGGGAAATTTGATTTATTAATAATACAGTAAATGATGTGGAGATAGCCTTTCATTTCCAAATATGCGCTGCTGTGGTTTCACAGCACATAAACATTTATGGCTGGATGTAAAAGATCACGGGGCCTGAGTGCTGAAGTCGCCATCGCTGAACAGAGCAGAATGCCCTGAATAGAGAAGCTCCAAAGGACGGAAGGAATCCCTGGGTTCCCGGCACAATGCACTAGCTGCAGAATGGAGGGTAAGAAACTGGAGGGGCTCGTCTAAATCCCATAATGATGGCATGAGGTCCACCAGGTAGACTCTCTCTTTCCCAAGACATCCACACATCTCTCCTTTTTTGTGTGTGTGTGTCTTTGCTCAAATCTCACTTTTCAGGAAGCCCAAACCAACCATTTCTATTTAACACTGAAATCCATGGCTTACTCTATAACACACACATCTGTGGATGAACGCTGATTTCCCATTACCTAACTATTTGTTTTCCTTTTATTCAATAGCACTTTGATCTGTCACTTTTTACAGGGTTTTTTTATTAGGATTATTCTTTAGTGTCAGCTTCTCCCAGTTACAAGTTCCAAGAGGCAGAGATTTTTCTCTATTTTGTTCACTAATATATGCCAAAGCCCCAGAAAAGTGACTAGCACATAGTAGTAGGTTCAGTACATATACCTTTATTGAATAAGTATCTATTCAGAGAGGGAGAGGGACTTAACTGTCACCTTTTCTTTGTCTTGCTTTTGAATGACTGGATCTTGAAAACTGAAACCCTGTCCCTTCTGACTTGCTTGCCTTTAAACCAACTGTTCAGATTGTGTGTGTATGTGACATGTGAATCAGTCCCTTCCACCAATATTGTTCCAGAAGAGTAAGGGTTCCACAACTTATATAGGGTTTTAAATACCTGACACATCAATGTGATGGGTTAATAATAAAGAAGCTTGAGGAGGAAGGCCTGGGTCCTAATCACGGCTTTAGATTTAGCAGTTTGGACCCTTGTAAGCGGAACTTTCAATCGTAGCAGGCTGCAAGCCGCAGAATGCTGATGATTATGTTTGCTTTTACAAGTTTAACTGTAATCATCAGAGGAGGAACAGAGTGCACCAGGTCATCTTTTCTGAATTATTCGCAGCCAATCTCTCCCTTTCAAAGCACGAGAGTGCTTCTGACCTAGTTAAATCCCTTCCATTCTGAACATGCTTAATAAAAAGACACTTTTTTCCTTTGGTCTCTACACTCACTTGTTGCCCAGTAACCAGGAAGATTGATCCTTCCTTTCCGTGTACCACTTGTCGGTAAATGTGGTCGAGGATTAGGAGCTCACTCCAGCAGTTCTGAAGCAGCTTCATTTGGTCATCAACCTGTAAAAGAAGAGAGACAAAATGGACACTATCATTTACTACTTTTTTGTTTTTGCGTAATTTTCTACAGAAGAGGATTACCTATATATAAGCTAGGACGTCTCTACCAACGCTCACCAAACAGCAGATGCTCAGAATTTACATCACTGCTGCTGAAAATCACTATTTTCATTTGGACGAATACTTTTTAGCCTCCACCTATAAATGCTTGACCTAAGCATAATCAGCGGACTGCTAGGAAAAGGCGCTCCATTGAATTGCTTTGTCTACCATTAATAGAACCGTCAGAGTTTGGTGGAGGGAGGTAGAGGCGGCTCAGACTGTTCTCAGTAGGCCCCATTAGAATGACCCCAAAGAGCCCATGCTTAGGTATCTAAAGGTAAAATAGTGCAGTGAACTGAAGCTGCTCGAGTATATAGATGTTAGCAAACTGCCAAACCAGGAAGATTTCAATATACAGCCCAAATGACTCTGAGCTGGAGGCACTCAGCCATGATTGGCCCAAATCGGGCTAGTCTCTGAACAGAACCCTCACCAAGCTTTATCTTAGTACTACCCTGAATTTGATCATATGATTTGGGCAATTTTCCCACAGACTTTCTAAACTTCAATTTCCTTATCTGAAAGGGGAGACAAGAATAGTATCTCCCTTATAGAACTGCTGTGAGGATTCAAACTAAAAGTACTTTGTCATCATGGGCATTTTATACATAGTCCAGCTTGCCCTCCAGAGACTCTCATTCCTCACTGACAATATATATCTATTTCATGTATAGTCCATGATCTAAATATGAACAGCATATTGATCCATTCCGATGGCTATTTGTGTCTGTTTACTTCTCATTTTATAATGTTAACCAGCCAAGCATCTTGGTATGCTCAAATGCAGTAGCAATGTTTGGACATACGCTATGCCTTTATGAAAACAACACTTGACATTTACATGTTGTTAATTTTTTTCTTTTTTTTTTTTTTTTTTGGAGACAGAGTCTCACTCTCTTGCACAGGCTAGCGTGCCATGGTGTTGGCCTAGCTCACAGCAACCTCAAACTCCTGATTTTAAGTGCTTCTCTTGCCTGAGACTCCCAAGTAGCTGAGACTACAGGCACCTACCACAACATCCAGCTAATTTTTTTTTCTATTTTTGGTAGAGGTAGAGTCTTGCTCTGGGTGGTGTATAACTCCTGAGCTCAAGGGATC